CCTCTCCCAGACCTGCAAAGGACCTCTCCTGATTTTTATACTTCGTAGGATCCACAACCTGAACTCTCAATTCTACTCAGCTTTATTGGACACTAAAAACCGTAAGTACAGTAAACTTATTGGTGCCTACCACCCAAAATGGGCTTCCTCCACCTCCCAAATCCCCAGCCGTACCCAGGACCTTCCCCACGATGTGCCCGCAGCCATTGGCCATGAGGCCACTGTCGGAGAACCCACAGATGACGTCACATCCGCCACCGCCGGGTACCCCACTTCTGGGACAGCAAACGCCATCGCTGCTGATGCCACTGCCTCCATTTCAGAGACCAACACCACAGACACTGAAGATGCACCTACCGTCACCGCTGCTGCCATCGCCTACCCCGCTCCACCCACTGCCGACGCTGCTCCGCCCATCACTGACGCGGACGCAACGACGCGAACGCAACTCCGCCCGACGCCGACACAACTCCGCCCACAGCCGACGTCGACGTCGCTCCGCCCACCACCTCCACAGCCAGCAGCCCCAGAGGAGACAGTAGCACCCAGCCCTGCCGAGTCTTCATCCCCCCAGACCTCCCCCTTACTGACGACGAACGGTCAGTCCTCAGTAAAGGGCTCACCTTTGTCCCCCTCCACCCACACATCAACGAATACCGGTCACGTTTGGACATTGAGCAGTTTTTCCGCCGCCTCCGCCTCCACGCTTACTTCTTCAACCGTGAACCTAACCCTCCCTCTACTGACCCCTTCTCCCGCCTCCAACACACCCCCTCCTCCTGCACACCAGCCCAAGGCCTCCTACCCTCCCTCGACCTCTTCATCTCCAACTGCCGCCAAGACATCAATCGCCTCAACCTCTCCACCCCTCTCACCCACTCCAACCTCTCCCCCGCAGAACGTGCAGCCCTCGGCTTCCTCTACCCCAATCCCAAACTCACCATAAAACCCGCGGACAAGGGAGACGTGGTTGTAGTATGGCGCACTGACCTCTACATTGCCGAGGCCAGACGCCAACTCTCCAACATCACCACCTACCACCCCCTTGATCGTGACCCCACCCCCGAGCACCAAACCATCATCTCCCAAACCATCCACAACCTCATCATCTCAGGTGACCTCCCACCCATGGCCTCCAACCTCATCGTTCCCCAACCACGCACCACCCGCTTCTATCTCCTTCCCAAAATCCACAAACCTGACTGCCCTGGTCGACCCATTGTCTCCGCCTGTTCCTGCCCAACCGAACTTATCTCCACGTATCTTGACTCCATTTTCTCCCCCTTGGTCCAGGAACTCCCTACCTACGTCCGTGACACCACCCATGCCCTCCACCTCCTCCAGAACTTCCAATTCCCCAGTCCCCAACACCTCATCTTTACCATGGATGTCCAGTCCCTATACACTTGCATTCCCCATACAGATGGCCTAAAGGCCTTCCGCTTCCTCCTGTCCCGCAGGCCCGACCAGTCCCCCTCCACTGACACCCTCATCCGCTTAGCCGAACTCGTCCTCACCCTCAACAACTTCTCTTTCAATTCCTCCCACTTCCTACAGGCAAAGGGGGTGGCCATGGGTACCCGCATGGGCCCGAGCTATGCCTGCCTCTTTGTAGGTTACGTGGAACAATCCCTCTTCCGTACCTACACTGGCCCGAAACCCCACCTCTTCCTCCGTTACGTTGATGACTGTATCGGCGCCGCCTCGTACTCCCACGAGGAGCTCGAACAGTTCATCCACTTCAACACCTTCCACCCCAACCTTAAGTTCACCTGGACCATCTCTAACACCTCTCTCACCTTCCTGGACCTCTCTGTTTCCATCTCGGGCAACCACCTAGAAACCGATATCCATTTCAAGCCCACCGACTCCCACAGCTACCTAGAATACACCTCCTCCCACCCACCTTCCTGCAAAAACGCCATCCCCTATTCCCAATTCCTTCGCCTACGCCGCATCTGCTCCCAGGATGAGGCATTCCACTCCCGTACATCTCAGATGTCCTCGTTTTTCAAGGACCACAACTTCCCCCCTCCTCAGTGGTCGAGAACGCCCTCGACCGTGTCTCCCGCATTTCCAGCAACTCATCCCTCACACCCTGTCCCCGCAATAACAACCAAAAAAGAATCCCCCTCATTCTCACGTACCACCCCACCAACCTCCGGATCCAAGGCATCATCCTCCGACACTGCCGCCATCTGCAATCCGACCCCACCACCAAAGACATTTTTCCCTCCCCACCCTTATCTGCTTTCCGGAGGGACCACTCTCTCCATGACTCCCTTGTCCGCTCCCCACTCCACTCCAGCCCCACCACACCCGGCACTTTTCCCTGCAACCGCAGGAAGTGCTGCACCTGCCCCCACACCACCTCCCTCACCCCCATTCCAGGCCCCAAGAAGACTTTCCACATCAAGCAGATGTTCTCCTGCACATCTGCTAATGTGGTATACTGCATCCGCTGTACCCGTTGTGGCCTCCTCTACATCGTGGAAACCAAGCGGAGGCTTGTGGACCACTTTGCAGAACACCTACGCTCGGTTCGCAATAAACAAGTGCACCTCCCAGTCGCGAACCATTTCAACTCCCCCTCCCATTCCTCAGACGACACGTCCATCCTGGGCCTCCTGCAGTGCCGCAATGATGCCACCCGAAGGTTGTAGGAACAGCAACTCATATTCTGCTAGGGAACCCTGCAGCCCAATGGTATCAATGTGGATTTCACAAGCTTCAAAATCTCCCCTCCCGCTACCGCATCCCAAAACCAGCCCAGCTTGTCCCCGCCTCCCTAACCTGTTCTTCCTCCCACCTCAAGCCGCACCCCCATTTCCTACCTACTAACCTCATCTCGCCCCCTTGACCTGTCCGTCCTCCCTGGGCTGACCTATCTCCTCCCTACCTCCCCACCTACACTGTCCTTTACTGGCTCCATCCCCGCCTCTTTGACCGGTCTGTTTCCTCTCCACCTGTTTTCTCCTCTATCCATCTTCTATCCGCCTTCCCCTCTCTCCCTATTTATTTCAGAACCCCCTTCCCCTCCCCCATTTCTGATGAAGGGTCTAGGCCCGAAACGTCAGCCTTCCTGCTCCTCTGATGCTGCTTGGCCTGCTGTGTTCATCCAACTCTACACCTTGTTATCTAAGAGCTGAGACGGTGCTGGAAGGTCACTGGCTCCATGCTTCTGGGCACTTGGAGCTTAGAAAAATCCTGGGACACTTAAGGGCACAGTGGAGCTAAAAGGAAGATGTGTGCCAGAAAGTTGATATTTGGGCAGTGGCAAACTAGTATTACCAGTAGTTATATATTAGTGAATTAATTGGACAAAGGAATGTTCCACTTGGATCCAGTCTCAGGAGCCTGAACAACTAGGAGATGAGCAGTTATTGAGGCAGTCGGAGTTGGAATAGACTTTTTTTTTAGGGAAACCAGAGGCTAGACTTTTGTTAGAGAAGAACTGAATTAGTTTGTGAGGGAGACCATGTTTTACAGAATTTTTGTGACATTCCAGTATCTCGTTCAGTCAAAGAACATCTGACATCAAAGTCACTGACATCTTGGTTGTGCAGTTTGTGGTGTGTTTGACCACAGCCTGTTAATTCATGTTTATATCATGATAATTCTGAGTGTTAGAGTGTAAGACAGACGGTGTTTGTTGTTTACTTTGACTTCTGTGCAGTAACGTTTTCATCTGTTTGTTTAAAAGATGTGGAATCTATGGCTTCTTTGACTTAGCGAGATACTGGAATTTCAAATTTTGTTCACATAAACAAAAGGTATGGGTCACTAATCAGATTGTAACCAAATCAGAGGTCTTGACTGTGACCTTAACCTAAATTTTTTAGCCTAGACTGGGATCATAGCGGGGTACAGAGGTCTCTTCTCTTTATCCAATTCTGTAAACCTTTCAAACAAGTAGTCTTGTAGTTGAGACAGTCACTGTAACTTCCTGGGTTCAATCATATGTTCATTCTAAGAAATATAGTCCAATGCTGAGGATGAAAGTAGAGACTCTATTGGTGATCTCAGTACATCAAGTTAAGAAAGGGAAAATCAGCCTGCATTTTCCCTTCTAATCACTGTTTATCTGTGGGTAAGTTTTTAAGGGTTTAGCTCCTGCTGTAATTATTGACTATCTGGCCTGTTCCCATGTTGGTATACCCTCCTGATAACTTGCTGCTTAAGTTTACATACGAAGCACAAACACTTGAGCAGAGTGTCAGAGGCCAATCAACGCATGTTCGTTCTGACTAGAATCAAGAAGCGAAACGCTAAGATGGAAAAATAAAGGAGGCAAACCTGTATAAATACTTGGGATATGGACCTGAAGTGCCATAACCTACAAGGCTTAGAGTAAGAGCTGGAACAGGTACAGCTGGATGGTTTCTTCTGCATCATAAATTTTCTATTCTTCTTACACATTTGGGGAACTTTTCTATGATCCGTTCGGAAAAGACAGCTTGTAACTTTTTCCAAAGGGAAAGTGTTTCAGTTCAGCAACTTAGAACAGTTGGAGAGATAGTAGGAACTGCAGATGCTGGAGAATCTGAGATAACAAGGTGTAGAGCTGGATGAACACAGCAGGCCAAGCATCATCAGAGGAGCAGGAAGGCTGACGTTTCGGGCCTAGACCCTCCTTCAGAAAAAGAAGTGTCTTGGCCTGAAACGTCAGCCTTCCTGCTCCTCTGCTGCTTGGCCT